CCATCTTGAATGCTCTTCCCAAACCGATTACTCTCACGGTCATACAGTTTGCATTTGTCTCAATATGGTGTCTATTGTTGGCATATCTGTCGGCGATCTTCCCCTGGCTTAAGAACAATGTTCCGGCTCTCAGGAATGGCATACGCTACCCGTCCCGCGATGTTATCGTAACAACCTTGCCCTTGGCAATTTTTCAATTGGCTGGACATATACTCAGCTCAATGGCTACTTCTCAGATACCAGTATCACTGGTTCACACCATCAAAGGCCTCTCGCCCCTTTTTACCGTTTTAGCATATCGAGTGTTCTTTCGCATTCGATATGCCAAAGCCACTTATCTATCTCTTGTTCCGTTGACCCTAGGTGTCATGCTCGCCTGTTCTACCGGGTTTTCGACGAATTTCTTTGGCATCCTTTGCGCATTACTAGCGGCATTGGTTTTCGTCTCTCAAAATATCTTCTCCAAAAAGCTCTTCAACGAAGCTTCCCGCGCAGAGTCGGAACCTCAGGCAAGCGGTCGAAAGAAGTTGGACAAACTCAATCTCCTCTGTTATTGCTCGGGCCTCGCCTTCATCCTCACGTTGCCAATTTGGTTTATCAGCGAAGGTTATCGATTGATCTCAGATTTCATGCAAGATGGTGCCATCTCTTTATCAGAGAAAGACAACTCTTTGGATCACGGTGCGCTCTTCGTGGAATTCGTATTCAATGGAATCTCACACTTTGCGCAAAATATTCTGGCGTTTGTTCTGCTATCAATGATATCCCCAGTGTCCTATTCCGTTGCTTCTCTGGTCAAGAGAGTCTTCGTCATCGTCGTTGCGATCGTATGGTTTGGCAGCTCCACGACTAGTTTACAAGCTTTCGGTATCGCACTCACCTTCGTTGGGCTGTATCTCTATGATCGCAATAGTCATGACGATGTGGCAGACCGAAGAGCAAACGCCGATCATTTTCGCACCAAAGAAACCATTCTTCCCTTAAGTGTTCCAACAAAGAGAACGTGGGATTCGAATGGCTACGCCTTTCCACCTTCGAGAACCGGTGAAACTCAATTTATGGACAGCTCTGCTGTCTTGGCGGCGAACTCGAAAAAAGAAGACGACGCATTCGAACATGTTCGGCCGAGGGGAAGTAGCACGTCCAGGACATGGCTACCACCTGGTACAAAACAAGAGTCAACTTGGCAATCAGGCGACGCTTAGTAGCATGCGGTATGTACATTATATATCATGGATACGTTTTTGTTTACTATAGCATTCCTTTTTTATCGAAGTGTAGTTTTTGATTGCACATAATCCGACTTGAGGGTCTGAAATTTTCGAGAAGTTCGCTTGTATTCACATTAGAAAACAGACACTTTACTAAACGATTCTTAATCAGTATCAGATGAGGTCTTCAGACTAGAAGCCGCTCGGTTTTGCACCGATACTATAAGAGAAGCAGAAAAGGAAGTTAATATAGTGTCAGCCGGTAGCCGTAAAATATATTGGCTAAAATTTGGGACAAAATTATGTAGCAACTGTCGGTAAGGAACTATGCCATCATGAGGCAGTGCCACCATTATGGCGGCGGTAACCCTAAGCAGCTCCAGCTCAGTGCCTCTGGTCTTGGGTCATGTAGCAGAGGAGATAGGTATTGTCGATGTCCTGCCTCCTACAATAAATCACGCCCGTGAATGAGTTTTGTTGATTAAAAGAAGGAGAGAAGACCCTGAGCTCTGCGGAATTCTTTTAAAAAGTCAGGATTCGGAATAACAAAGGTTCCGAGAATCCGAACCAATCCGCAGGCCGCAATTTGCGAGTAATGTTCGAACCAAATCCGAGGGAACACGCCAAAAGTAGTCCTAACAAGAACAACCTCTGCCAACGCTTCGCTTCTACCACCCTTCTGTCCTTCTCCGTCCCGGGTTCTTTCTATTTTTTCCTTCTCAAGATATTTGATTTCAATCTCACTATGCGGCCGCAGTTGTTTCGTGCGGCCGCCCGGTCCTTCCGGGTCCCTAAACTGAACAAGCACAGGACCTTCGCGACGACAACCCCTCGCTCTGCTGAGGTGGAGCTCACAATCGGTGGGATAGACCGGGTAGTCTGAATTGACGAGTATCTGTGCGCTGACATTTGTGAATCAGATGGCAAAAAGGTTTCAGTAGAAGGTCGCTCGAATTTCCTATGGCCCGGTGCTAGTATCCCTACTGACACCGAATTATAGCTGGCTCGGCCCTCATTCAGGCTTGTGAAAAGGCAGGCGTGACAGTTCCGAGGTATGTTTGATTGAGCAGTTACGAATTGGCAAGTGTGACTGACGAATTTGCTACAGATACTGCTATCATGAGTATGGCTTCACTCGCGCATTTTAGTTAATCAGGCTTGCTAACACAATAAACAGGAAACTAATGATTGCGGGAAATTGTATGTCTCCTCCTCAAAGGCTTATTTCAATTGATTGAGTTAACTCTAAGCTTTTAGGTCGTATGTGTCTCGTTGAAGTTGAACGTGCTCCCAAACCAGTGGCATCCTGTGCTTGGCCTGTGCAGCCCGGGATGAATGTCAAAACAGATTCGCCGCTCGTGCATAAAGCCAGGGAGGGTGTTATGGAATTTCTACTGGCTAATCATCCTCTTGATTGTCCTATCTGCGACCAGGGAGGTGAATGTGATCTTCAGGACCAGTCAATGCGCTACGGAGCTGACCGCGGTCGGTTCCACGAGGTTGGTGGAAAGCGTGCCGTTGAAGATAAGAATATCGGACCTCTCGTCAAGACATCCATGAACCGGTGTATACACTGCACTCGCTGCGTTCGGTTCATGAATGATGTAGCTGGTGCTCCGGACCTCGGAACTACCGGTAGAGGTAACGATATGCAGATTGGGACTTACCTGGAGAAGAACCTCGACTCCGAGCTCTCCGGGAATATAATTGACCTTTGCCCTGTTGGTGCTCTAACATCGAAACCCTATGCTTTCCGTGCTCGTCCATGGGAACTGAAGCATACCGAGTCTATTGATGTTCACGATGCTATGGGCTCCAATGTCCGGATAGATACTAGAGGCATGGAAGTGATGCGAGTGCTTCCGAGACTGAATGACGACATCAATGAAGAATGGATCGACGATAAATCTCGGTTTGCATGTGACGGTTTGAAGACCCAGAGACTGACGACGCCATTGATCCGGAGAGACGGAAAATTCGTTCCTGCAACCTGGGAGCAAGCCTTAACTGAGATCTCTAGCGCTCAGCAGAAACTGCAGCTGAAGGAGAATGAATTCAAGGCTGTCGCAGGGCATCTAGTCGATGCCGAGTCGCTTGTGGCGATGAAAGACTTAGCTAACAAGCTTGGATCCGATAATCTAGCTCTGGATCAGCCGAGAGGCGACTCTCCCATTGCCCATGGAATTGATATACGCTCAAACTACCTCTTCAATTCGAAAATCTACGGAATAGAGGAAGCCGATGTCATCCTTCTGGTGGCTACGAATCCCCGCCATGAAGCAGCAGTTCTCAATGCGCGCATACGCAAGCAGTATCTTCGCTCAGACCTCCAAATTGGGTTGGTTGGAGAGGAGTTTGAAAGCACTTTTGAATACGAACACCTTGGCTCAGACACCTCTTCGTTGAAGGCCGCTTTGTCTGGAGAATTCGGGGAGAAACTTGCTTCTGCTAAGCGGCCGATGATCATTGTCGGAAGCGCCGCAGCTGAACATCAGGATGCGAAAGCGGTCTTCGAAATCGTTGGCAGCTTCGTTGAAAAACATCGAAACAACTTCAACACCCCTGAATGGCAAGGCTACAACGTTCTTCAACGTGCTGCATCCCGTGCCGCTGCCTATGAAGTCGGTTTCACTACGCCATCTTCAGAAGTAGCGCAGACCAAGCCGAAAATGATCTGGCTCTTAGGCGCAGATGAAGTTAGTCAAAGAGAAATTCCGAGCGATGCATTTGTCATTTATCAGGGCCACCACGGTGATCGTGGTGCTCAATTGGCCGACGTCGTTCTCCCCGGTGCAGCATATACCGAGAAGTCGGGCACATATATTAACACTGAAGGACGTGTCCAAGTCACTCGGGCGGCCACCTCCTTGCCTGGTGCCGCACGTGATGACTGGAAGATTATCCGTGCTGCCAGTGAATTCCTCAACAAACCGCTTCCCTATGACGACATTGAGGCACTCCGCGATCGCATGGAGGAGATCAGTCCTGTCATGCGCCGGTACGATGTCGTTGAGCCAACTTCCCTGAGCTCACTGAGCAAAGTACAACTGGTTGACCAGAACAAGGGCGTTCAGCCAACTGGTACACCTTTCAGGAAGGTTATCGAGGACTTCTATTTTACTAATTCCATTGCTCGGAGGTCAGTTTATTTTTCAAACCTGCGTCATGTCCACCGCTAATCGAGAATCTAGTTCCCCGACCATGGCCCGCTGTTCAGCAGCTAAGGCCACGGGAAATCCTGAGACGAACTTCATGGCTGCTGGTGAAATGTCTCCCCAGGCTCTGTACGGCTAGGACACGCAGGCTCGTATTGCGGCCATTTCGGTCTGTTCTCCTTTGTCTGTTGGATCAGGCGTTTCCATTGTACCACCTAAGTATTGTTTTGCCTCCTTTTTCGTTTCCCCATAGTTATCGATTATTTTCAATTTTACATGGCCAGTGTATCTCCGAATCGTTGTCGGTCATCCTCAAAACTGATCTGGGGAGGTGAATATGTACATATGATGTGGAGAAAATGACAGTCTTCCGAGTCAAAAGGAGTTATTCAATGTGGACCCTCCCATCAGTAATATGGTCCGTTCTCTTGGCTGAAAGGAGTGTGTAGATTTGGATGTTACAGCTCTTCTGAATAAGCTCCTGGAGTGTCATCTCGCTTTGGTCGCTCTAATTGAAGCGATATAGTAGTCATACGTAGCGTTGAACATGCCCCAGAGAGGAAAAGATGTTATATGTGTCGGTAATTGAAGCTTCGAGTTGTAGGAAGTTCGGATCCGCAGCGCTCGCCGCAAATTACAACTCATCATCATCAGTTTCCCCCGCCGTTGCTTCAGCATCCTCCCCTGCGGCGACGGATTCAATTGATCTTGGTGGCATATGATCCACCTGTGGCTTCTTAACAAACGGAAGCTCTCTTCGGGGTGGTGGGACGGCTGAATTTGTTAGTATAGTGCTGTTTTGAGGTTTTTCGTCTGATGCCTGCTTGTTGTCTTCGCGCTCGTTTTCTATTGATGGTGACGCAAGTGCTTCGCCTGTGTTGGTGTTTTCGTCATCTTCAAGGGGCTGGGGCGTAGAAGTTTCTTCATCTTCTGTTTCCTGATCGTCTGAGTGACCATCGATTTGCCTATCGTGATCGACTTCCATCCTCTCAAATCCGTCCTCACTATCGGATTTACTGTCTAACATGTCTTGAGCGGATCGCTTTGTTTTGGAATTGGACGGGCCAGAGAGAGGATGTGTGGCCGAGATTGCTGACCGAATCTCTGATGCTTTATTGAATGCCATGAGTCAATGATGCCACATATTCAATGCAATTGCCACAACGAATCATACCTTTTTTAGAGTCTACCTTTGCGGAGGCCAAGAGGCGCTGTTGATTGCGAATCTTGAGCTTCTTCTCATTCAACAATTGCACGAAATTGGCCATCAGTAACTCATCGTGCTGGGTCTTGGCGCTCATGAATTCTTCTAACTGCTGGTTGAGTCGTTGGATTGCGTTTTCGGCGGCGCGGTAACGATCTGTTAAAGTGGAAAGACGTTCCGCAAGGGTATCTGCCCTTGCAACAGCTGCACCCGACCAATCGAATAGTTGAATTGCCTGTTCATCATTCTGTCTTAGGGTCACAGAACCCAGCCTTTGCTGTCCGAAATTAGATTGATACGGGAAAGATTGCTCATGACGGGAGCCTACTGTGATGGATTGGACTCGTTTGCGTATCGTGATAACTAGCTCCCTACTAACGTCGCCCGATTCGATGATACTCGCCGAAGATTCAATTCCAGAGAGTATTTCGGACTTTGGGACGGGTTCTTTGAGCTGACCAAAAACATATGACACAATTTGAACCCATTCGTCGTCGCTACCTCGGTAGTTCTTCGCGCAGAGAGTTTTCAGGCGGGTTTGTCGCACTGTGTCACTTGCCTTAGAAAGTGGTCCAGAGCAGAAAGGAAACGATGGTGTGATATATGAACTGATCACGCAGAGAATAATTCAACCAGAACATACCAGTGCCAGTATAGGGGTTCTCCCCCTCCGTCGCAGCAATATCCAGATCCAGGGCATTAGAGCTGGTGGGGGAGACCTGGAGGAGCACGTAACCATGAGTATCATCACTCCGGGAAATGCGGAGGATCCTCTGGGAGAGGTCGAGTGTGCTGGAGGGCATAATGATAGAGTGTATGCTGAGTGTTCTGTGCTGTGGTTAATGCCTGTGGTTAAAGGCCGATGCGTGCAAACTAGCTCTGCGATCAGACGTCAGAGAACCGCTTATTTCTCAAAAACTGTGTGTCTTTCATCGCATGGAGCCATTAGTGCTGCCTATTCATTTTTGTTTCCACGAGAATGGCAAGCCAGCTAGGCATTAACGTCACCCAAAGTTGAAGGAATCTACTCGTTCCGCGAAGAGCCTCATGTTAGTGGAAAGAACGAATACAACCATGGATGATCGACAGCCAAGAATGCCGCCCACGAAAGTTGTCCGGCCGAACTTTCCAAGGGTTGATGTTAGTTGCCAGGGTTCAAATAGGACCTACAGCAGGTAGACTTGTATACCCAATGACAATGGTCTCCCAATAGTACCTCTCTTTACAAAAGTTATCTGCTCGAGATCACCGGCTGTGGATGAGCCAACAACCATGCGAGGCCCAAATCAAGACCAAGCTCGAATGTTCTCAGGCAATATAAACACACCTGACGTGCAAATTCGACCACCTCCGTGAGGTTGGGCGCAATGATACAGATACTTACGCATAATTGCTAGTCAAAACTTTGCTATAATTTGGGCACTCGCCTTTCGGCTCTTTACATTCCATTGCCTGTGACTCAGGCTATTACTTGGAGAACGACATTGCCCTTTAAGCTGGATATTACATTGACTCTGCGTGAACACACATCCTAGGTGGTCGAGGGCTGAAAAAGTACCCATGCCGCCAGTATGATAGAAGTTAGCATTGTTGCTGAACAAACAGAGACTTTGATGAGCACACTCCTCTACTTGGATAGCCAGTACTCCGTAGCAAGACAAGTTAGTGGCAAGTGAGAGAGGTGCCATGGGTCTTCCTCCCCTCATCTGAAGAGCTTTCTTAACCTTTGCAGTGAATGCTTTATTTCCAATAGAATCGTCTGTGAGCGTCTCTGACGAATATGTGACAGAAATATAAGTATTTGTATTCAGAGAGATAAGGTTGAGGGGTTGGGGAAACAGATCCCCAGTCACATACTCCAAGAACTTCAATCGTCTCCTCATTATTCTGCCCCTTGGTCGTCCCGTCCCCTAAAAGCACGTTCCCTCCACCCTCCGGGAGGAATCCTTCCCGCCACCCACCTTAGTGACCTTGCGACCTCATACATCGAAGGGTTTGAACTATTTGTCACTTGAATTAAATCGTACTTCGCCGCGATCTTCGTGCCTTCAAAACCTCGACCGGTTCTATTTACCAGCATACTACAGGCCTGGATCTTCAGTTTATTCCTGGTGTCTTCCGGAGCATTTGATTACATTGATCTCCGTAACGTGCTCACTGACTCCCTGAGTCTAAGTCCAACCTGAATCTGCAGTGTAAGACGCACCTGGATGATCCCCAGCACTGCCATCAGGTTTGAGATAGCCTTTGACGCACTGCGTTGGGAATACTGCACCTGCACCAAGGGACAACGGGATGATGCCCCAATTGGCTTTCGACTCTGTGTTAGCGAGGGAGATTTCTGAGCCCGCTCCCTGGAATCGCCTGTCCTAAGTTGGTCCAACTTTCTTTACATGATATTCTCTTCTGTCGCCACCGGTTCTTCGATAAGCCCTCCGTAACATGGAGTCATCGACTTGTCAGGTCCCACATGGGGACGAAGAGACGATCGAGTGTTGGGACGACGATGGGGATCTACACTGTTACGAAGACATCCATATCCGTACGGCATCAACTGCTACATCCGTAACGAATGTATCCACTCGTCGATCGGGTCATCGAGATTCTATATCATCCCGTCGGTCTGCTCGCTCTGACCTAGACTCGAACGCGGCAGAAGATGAGGATTTGCAGGTTCAGCTTCCTGATGACGACGAAGTTTTGAGCGAAGAAGCCATTGCATCTGCCAAGAATGCAGGGATTCCCTTGCCAGTCAACGTTCCCAAATCGGCTCTCGTTGGGGGAACGATCAAGCGACTTGGGCGAAGAAAACGGAGGAAGAATTTTATTGACGATTGGTCTGACGACGTTGAGCTTCCAGGTCCTGATGCTGTGCTCGAGCTCAAAAAGTTTAAGGACACAGTCTTCCCGGAGACCCTCAGGCAGCTCAGTTCAGCCACAAACAGTCCGGTGAAAAGATCTCCTTCTCCTTTATGGGAAGATGATCTTTCGACGCGCTTGCAGTCAGCCCTAACAAATCTAAGTCAATTTGCGGATGACAGCAATTACAGCTTGGCGGATAATGACAATGTCCCTACCATCAAAGTTGCGAAGCCTCGGTCACCAAAATCGACCAGATCAGTTGCCGAGCACAGCGTAACAGGGATCGATGCGCCTGTCGAAAATGTTGAGGACGACTTCGAATTACCAGCGGATGATTTTCCTCTTCATCTTTCTCTTCGCAAAGACGGTATGGAGGCCACTAGCCCTGTTGCAGACGATTTCGACCTGGATTGGTCCGAAGGTAGTATAGGGATTCGTTTCGGTGGCACAAAGAGAGACCACCGTTCAATTCCAAGCTCCGCAGTCTCGGTTGTTAGTCCTAGTGCCTCCAGTTGCCGGACAGGCGAGAGCGAGGATGAAGGGCTTGATGGACTTGTAATTCCCGAGGGTCCTCTGGACCTGGAATCAATGTTGAAGAAGCGCCAGGATACCGGCTCTATTGATAGACCGCGCTACTCGTCATCAGGCCAGGCCGAATATGAGCTGACTAGCTCGGATGATTTTTTCGCAGGGCTCGAAATCGAAAGCGGCGATGCTTTCGATTTGAAGAAGCTTTCCCTCAACCCAAACGTAAAATACAAGGTTGAGCGTCCCAGCAGTCCCGCCCGCCGTTCAACAACCTCCATCACATTCACAAATACTGCGGTTTCTCCCAGGACTCGGATTCCGCGCCTTTTGGGTCATGACCGTCATTCAACACATCTCGAGACTGTTTCAGAAAGTGGAGCTCCGCTGTCAAAGTTTCCGGGCTTACGATTTTGGGCGAGGGGTCATGTAACCCATGCCTCTGTCTCTAGCCTGCCCTCAAGACCAATATCGACATCTCCGACACCTTCGACTCCCGGCCGGCGATCTGTGACTTCTCGATCTCCCAAGACCCCATTAAGCAGCGACCGCGCCCCTAGCGGCACACAGTCCCTCAGGAACAAACGATCCATGCCGACTATTCGAAGTGTACCGCAATCTGCGCAGGTGTCATACTCACAGGGTTCTCTTTCTCGCGGAGATGAATCAACACGCCCTTCCATTTCTCAAGTTCGAGCAAGGACGCCGGTGGAACGCACAGGAAGCGACTCAAAATATTTGAGCCGCAAGGCCCAAACGCCATTTATTCCAGCTGGGGCTTCCGAAACTCAATCTCATCACGTCAATGTAAAGGGTCCTCGATACTCTCGTCGGACAAATTCCGATGGTTCCGGCGAAATCCTTAGCTCACGAGTCCCTGTATCTCGATATTCTCGATCAGGTCGACATTCGATTTCGAACAGCATTACTGATGAATATCAGTGTAAGAATTTGATCACCGCCGCGAAGCAGACTATCACTAGACCTACGCGGAGGCATAACTTCGGCGATGGGACTGAGCTGGAATCATTTGACGATTTACCTACGTCCTCCTTTGCAGAGAGCAAGTTCATCAAGCACCCAATTGGACGCGGTGTCCCGAGGTCCCTCCGTGGCAGACTCGGTCATAATCAGACTCGTCCCTCACGAACAGAAGTTCTGAAACCGCCGTCGACTCCGTGTACTGTCCCTACACCATACGACCTTACTCCTCGGTTTGCACGGGATACAAACGCCTCAAGAAATGCAAGAGAACAACGTATCGCTTCAATAGCATTCAACTTGAAAAGCCGGGAGAGCAATCCACTTGGCCCTCTCAGCTCGAACTGGAGAAATCATAACATCGCTCGTGTTCCTTCGAACCCGGCGACGCTTAGCAGAAAAACTAGAGGTGTCACACCGTCCGGTGGTAAGCCCTTCCTGATCAAGTCAATAGGAAAGGGCTCTCAGGAACCGAAGTGTACGTGTTGTCCCCTACATTTGAATTGTTTTTTAGTTGACAATTTTTCTAGACGTGAACGGTATGCATTACAATCCGGACTCTTTCCAATGGGAGGGAAACGAGACTTCCGTTATTGGGTTTGAGTCTCTAAGATCCCCAAAGTCCCCCAAACCGGCACCCGCTTTGATCACCAATGTGAGTGCGATGCAGAATGTGCAGGTCGTTGGCGGGATGGTTTTCGATCCACGACGCATGTGCTGGCTGAAGCTGGCATCATCTCAGCCGGGCGCACCGGGGATGGTGGCAGTACAGGTTGAAGACGATGTCTTCGCCGGACTTGATGACCTCGAAGAAAAAAGTCAGAGAAAACCTCCAAGTGGCCCAGGTTCTGGTAGCTACGATGTTCTCGACCGTACTGTGAGTGGTGATGAGCCGAGTTGCGGCGACTCATCAGACGAGTGGCCCATGACAGAGGAGTTTGATGTTGGCCCAGAATTCGTGAGACGCCAACGTGTCGAGGAAGAGAAGTGGAGGCGAAAGGTCGAAAAATGGGTCCAATCCGAACGTGATAGACATGGAAACAGTTGGAGGTGGGCTATCCGAGATATAGTTGGTTTGAATGGCTCTCATCAAACTCAAGCAGTCCGCCGCATGTGAACATATTCAACGTACTTCGTCTTTCGGAGGGCATAACTATTAATCGGGAAATGTTGCGATACCCAGGAAAGCATCCTGGTGGAGGTCTGTTCTGATTGTTGCTGCTCTTTTGATTGAATGGATCGTCGAGGTTTGATCAGTTGAGGACTTGACTGGGACGATGCTTTTATATGGGTGGGTGTTCACTCTGGCTCGGCTGCTATGAACTTCGTGCATGAGCTTACGATATATTCTTGTTGGCCCTGATGAAACTGGCCAGCGAGAGATGACTTTGACATTTTCTTGTTCCTCTCGTTTGTTTCTGCTGAATGCGACTTT